ATGAAGAGAGCACATCCAGCCAGTCACTTTCAGAGAAACAGGAATACACTGGAAAACCGGCCAATCTCCAGCATCTATAAACAAAGGTGTTGATGGCAGCAGCACAACTGATATTTCTCTCCAGGATGGAGAAACAGCCAAACAGGAAAAGATGACACAAAGCTAGTATGAGAAAAAGCAGAGATAGCTCTCTGTTGGGCTCATGTGTATGACTTTGACAGATGAACTGTTGAAAAAACTAAATCATGCCACAGACTCTGCATCACACTGACAACACCAAACCAAAAACACTCCATATTTGCACCATATATAATTAATCCAGGCTTCTCAGCCTTGCAAGGAGGTCCTGGTTTCGATTCTCGGCCCAGGGTCTTTCTGCATGGAGTTTACATGTTCTCCCTGAGCATGCTTGGGTTCTCTCCGGGTACTCCGGCTTCCTCCCACAGTCCAAAAACATGACTGTTAGGTTGAATGGTTTCTCTGGATTGTCCTTGGGTGTGAATGGTTGTTTGTCTCTGTGTGTCTCTTTGTTGCCCTGCGATGGTCTGGCGACCTGTCCAGGGTGTACCCCGCCTCTGACCCGTAGACAGCTGGAGATGGGCACCAGCACCCCTCATGACCCCATTTGGAATAAGCGTGACAGAAAATAAATGGATATTTCTAATGCTCTGAACTTCCATATCAATGCATTTTTTGCACCATGTGTTGTTTCTCCCCCACTTTGTACAGAGCTGTACAAAATGAGATTTCGTTTTGTGTAAACTCAGAGTATACAAAATAACAATAAGAGTTGTCTAAGCCTAAGATTAACCCATTTATTTAATTTCTGCTAGAAGGTGAACCTCTACTTTACTCTCAGGTATTATAATATGATTAATCTGAATTAAACTTCACATAAATAGTTAAAAGCTTCCTTGATTCTATTAAAGGGAAGAATCCTGTTATTATAATATTACCACTGCCATTCTTCAGAGTGGAGATCCTGTGTTCAGGGTGATGTGTAGCTTTAGTTTTGTTCCACATTTAGGTCACAAAGACATGCTTTGGTCTCCTATTTACAGAGCCTCTCCTTCCTCATATGAACATTGTCTCCCAGTGTTTTGTTAAAAAGTTTATCACTCTTGAGAGGAGATCTAGGCACTGCAGAACCACACAGTAATACTACACCTGTTAGAAAAGCAGGAAACAACACACTGACCAAACCAATCACAGTAGGAATCACAGTAGGAGTGGGATCCAACCTCACACATTGGGAACGACCCATATTTAAAACTATTTGTTTTCATCCTATTTCCTTTTTTATTATCTCTATCCCATTTTGTGTATAAACTGACTCCAGTATCTTCTAAAAACATTTTAATTTCGTTGACTCCTGTTGCCACTCTCCTTTATTTAACACATGTATAAATAATAATCCATGACATAGGATTGAAAAAATTAAATTACCTCATTTATTTTCGACCACATTTACTATTTCAAACAAAATATGTTTTGTGTTTGAATTCCAAACAGGAGACCTTTGGTGAATGTATTCCCCCTCCATCCCCTGTCCTGTTTTGTACTAACAATGAAAGGCATAAATGCCATAAAACTTAATGAAAGTATTTTTTTTTTCAACTGCAAAAAAGTCAATAAACACCCTAATGCATCTAAAAATTATTAAAATGAATTAATAAAAAATTAAAATAATATTAAAATTTCAAACATCTCATTGGCTTTAAACAAATGCTTAATGTTTACAAGGTTTTAATAGTCAAAGGGTGAACACTGGAGTACATATATATTTTTAGATATTATCTGACTAGATTATTAGATTATAGCTGCAATCTCCACTAATTGGTTAGAGGCATACTGCAAACATACCCTTGGAGTTTCTTAAATTAACCCAGACAGCAGGTGACATGAACAAAAGTACAATTTAAAAAATAAATGTAACAGTGTTTAAGAGAGGAGAGGATCTAAAAATATACACCAGTATATACAAGAACATATGTGGAGGGGCATAGATAGAGCAAAAGCGGGAAAAGAAAATCTAGATAAATTCATTTTAAGTTTTTAGAGATGTCAAAGATTTTTTTCTCCAGTTTTGTATGTATTCAATGCTTTAATAGGGTTAAAACTGTTTATAACTGTTTAAAAAAAATTGTGACTTTTTAAACATTTGTATCAATGAATGAGATATTTAACCGTTGTAAATACCAAATTTAAAGAGTTTGAAAAAATATAGCTCTAGACTATATTGTGTAGTAGTCCGTTATTTTTTATTTAGAAGATAGAGACAGGTAAAACTGGTTATCAATTGTTTCCTTTGTAGTTTAACTAAAATGTTTTACCTGAAATTTCAATAAATGCTAAGTTGCTACTGAGGATTATTGTTCCTAAATATTGTTTTGCATACCGAATCTCCATCTATAGATAATCATTCAATAGAATAGGCTTTTGTAACAGAATATCTAATAAGTTATAAATTCATTATCAAGTATACGATCCAATTTCTGTTTAGTTTTGGAAGGTGATTAATTTCATGTAGCAGAGTATTCTTGATTAAGTGGATAAAGATCTGGTTTTGCTTTTTTTTAATGTGGTTATTCAGTAAATTCAAGTTCTAAAGATCACTACTAGCATCTATTAAATCTTAACAAAAACTATTCCCTAACTGCACCAGTTATTCTAACTTTATTTATTTTAAAGTACGTTAAAAACAGCACTGGTCAAAGTTTACCAATCCCTATTAAAAATTAACTTTGTTAATTTTATTTTATTATCAATCAACTTCAATAAACAGAATGATCTGTTTATTGAAGTTTAATAATTTGATGTAATTATTGTGTTTTTCAAAAGCACAGTGCGCAATTTTGCTCAATGCCTGAAATGCAGAAGTGATGAGACTCAGCAGACATGTGGATCAAGGGTGCAGATGTGGTGGGGCGAAAGACCAACTACCTACCTGTACTCATCAACAGGAACATGTAATTGGAGTACAAATGGGTGGAAGTACGAATATTGGGACTGGACCTATGATGCTAACCAGGCAATCAAGGCTATATGGGCTTCCATTGTAGCCTTAATATGGCATGTTTTTTTTTAGCAATACTTCATAGGTACACAAATTTTAAATAATGTAAATGTCTTACAAAAACATTCACAAAAACCTAAACATTTTATATTTTCATCAATTCATTATATTTCTTAACTGGTGTCTTAAACAAAAAAAACAAAAAAAGAGCATAAGCCACAACATGTAAACGTAAAAGGAACCAAACACCGTAGGGACCATTGCTGTCCAATAGTTTAGCTTTACAACTACATTTTCAACTAACACAGTAATACATTAACAGGTCAAGGTTCTTGTTCTGAATGGGTAAAAAAAAATCACCGGAGTTTAGACCTGGAAAATTCCTTTTTTTGGTTTATTGTTCCTCAGCTCTGATTATTTTCCCAGTAGAACCTCTTAGAAAAGTTCAGTTACAAGTTCCAAAATGGGCCTGGAAATTATCTTAGAGCTGAAAACAATTACAGGATGGTAGCCTAAGAGGGACAACCTACCTCTACCATTTGGCTGCTTCATACATTGCTGTCTGGGCAGAGGCTCATGGCCGATGCTGTACGACTTCTGGAGGAGAGAAGAAAAAAAAGTGATATTTGACATTAGATAAAACTTGGAATAAAACAAGAAACATTACAGAGTCTGCTGAAGTCCAGATGGATCAGGAAAATCGGAGAGTCTAATAATGTCAAGATCAACTAGAGACCATCAGAGAGTCAGTGAAGAACAAGAGTCTGTAAAGGCTCATATGAACAGAGGACCATTGAAGTCCATATTGACTTAGACAACTTTTATTGTCATTTTGTATGCACAGAATGTAAACAAAACAAAACTGCGTTTTGTACAGCTTTCATGACATTAAAGTGCAGCAGGGATCAAATGCAAACAGCGTAGGAGAAAAAAACATGGTGCAAAAAAAACGCATTGATATGAAAGTTTAGAGCATTAAATATATGGAGCAATTATACAGTGTTTTGATTTGGTGTTTTCAGTGTAATGCTGTTAAGGTTCATATGAACAAAGGACCATTTTGGGGTCTGTTGAAATACAGACAACCAGACACTGTCAGACAGTCTGTTTAAGTCCAGATGGACCAGGAACTTTTAAAGATTCTATCAAGGTCTTTATGAACCAGGAGCAGTCAGAAAATCTGATAAAGTATCAAGTATCAAGTAGTATCAAGGTGCTACTTTATTGTATATCTTATACCATGTCCATTGGTTGTGCTGTTTTCTTTTTACATCTCTTTGCAGGCGATGAAGCAGACTGAAGATGTTTTATCATTATCTCCCTTTTATCTCCTCTTTCTTTAATCTTTTCTAATTTCTTTTTCCTTTCCTGTTCTACTTACATTGCAGTGTCCATATAATCTGTAAAACTGTAAAAACAAAAATGAGGGCAGGGGCTGGGGAGTGTAGGGTGTTCTATTATTGATGACACAAATTTATATACACTTTACAAAATTTTGACTACTTGTGGCTGGTGCACTTGTTCCTCCTCTAATGTACAAAATGTGAAAAACAATAAAAAATTGATCACAAAAAAAATATATATCTGTAAAACTCCCTGCATAATTATAATAAAGCTATTTATATGCATAAATGAAACGGAACAGTATGGCGATAGCCATACTGCTCCACTTGTGAAAGTCAAATCTGTTGTGCTCTCTTTTTGGTATCAAGACAATTATTCTTATTGCCACATTGCCAGACAGGACACTGTTATAAAAAAAAAAGAAAAAGAAAAAAGTCCAAGCGAATGGGAAATATTGGAGTCTGAGTCTGTTCAAATCCAGACTGAACCACGAACCATCCAGCTGTCCCTCGAAGTCCATATGATCTATCAGAGAGTCTGTTGTAATCAAGATTGGACCAGGAACCATGTGCTGAGGCCCAGATTAACCGGGTCATTTCAGATAATCTGGATGGTTCAGAACTATTTCACAACTGAATTTTTAAAAAATAGTCACTATAAAATAAAAACTACTTAACATCCCCTAACATCAGCCGACTGGGTCAGCTGCTCTGTGAGTTCTGTTTGATGGAATCTGATCTCCATATTGGATGTTTAAGATGTTCAACACTGTTGAAATCCAGATTGTTTACTGCCACATCATCACCCCCTCTGATGCCTTAGTTTTAATCCAGATGGAAGGAGAAAAACCCCACCTGGAGACCCCTGTGATGGCAGTGAGAGCCATCACACCTTAGCTGATCTACGTAGCCCCACTGGGACCTCCAGGAGGCTTTTCTGTGTTACCTTATCAGAGCTGCAGCAGGGACAGGCAGGAGTGGAAAACAAGCACGCTGTGATCAGCTGTGAATGGTCTTATTGTTATGTGAGAATGGAAACAGAACCCAGTAATATGATAATGTCAGGTCTGTGCTCTGATGGGGCTGGATTAGACCGGCCACAGTACCAAAGATGTCAGATATTAGACCCAGGTTCTGAGGTACCCTCCGAGGTCCAAAAAACTGTAGAACCTTTATTACTCCATGGGTTATTTAATTCATGTATTACCTTTTTTTTCTTTCTTTGCATTTTGAAAAGAACCAGACTTCTTCAATCCCTGTCCTGCACCTTTTAGATGTGTCCCTGCTAAAAACACTTGAGTCAATTAATCAGGTCATTCCCAAGACTCTGAAGAACTTCACTGCATACTAAGGAGGTAATTCGACACTTTGATTTAGGTGTGGAAGCAGAAACACATTTAAAATGTGCAGGACATTGAACTCCAAGGGCCAGATTAAGGAAGCCTGGAGTAAACCTTGATCAGAATAGTTGACGCATCTGGGGACATTATGGGATTCTAGTTGCAGCAGTGATAAACCTGGTCCTGTTTGGATGTGTTGAAAGCTTAAAGGAGTCTCAGAAAGTTGGACTTTACCTCCAGACCCCATCAGATGTAGTGTAAACCAAAACAATGTTATTTTATAGGCAACTGTTCAGTGACATCATACTGTAATTTGAAATGCTAACATTATCATCCTGCAGGCAGGAAGCAGGCCCAACTCCTGATCTGCAGGGTGCCAACACAGTTCAATTAATGACTGTATTATCCTTAGAGTTTTGCAACAAAAAAAAAAAACAATTGATCTAAGAATAGAAGTTGACATTGCAAAAGCAAGGTATCCTTTACTGCTTGTAAATATCTACCCTGATGTTGTTCTATGTTTTTATTGCTCTAAATATTAGCCTGACCATTTTATCAGTTTGATTTCTTTTTTGCAGTGACAGTTTACATTAAAGATTTTTTCAGAATATCCACCATAATCTTGGAATCTGATGATGGTTCTGACTCTATGAAATATCTGAGCCCTTTGGGTAAATATCTCCACATGTCCAGTTGGACCGGTCACTCGAGTCTGTCTCCATCCACTAGAGGACTTACAGGTTTCTGACCGATCAGAGCTTTGACTGCAGAGAGACTAAATGGTTTTGTAAAAATGAAGGTAACTGAAAGTTTTGCTTAAACTGACACCAGAAATTCCTGACAGTGACAGTTTGATGTTTGTGACAAAAACAGGTCCATAAAGAGGAAGTTTTGGTACCAAAGTCAGTGTAACAGAGGGGGAGGGGGAACGGCTGCTGCAGCCTGAAGAAAATGCTCCTAGCAACCAACAAAGGTCCATTCATACGGATGGGGACCGGGGGGGTGGGGGCAGAACCCTCAGACACCTTCTGACCCACGATCCTAACCAGAACTTTATGTAGTAAGACATATTGATTTGTAGCTTCTTTGTTTTTAGATGTTTTCTTACATGAGAACCATTAAACAAATGTTCTCCAGCACAGAAGGAAGGTGACCACTTCTAACTCAGGAACATCTCATCTGCTCAGCAGTTGAAGCCACAAGATCAGACAACTTTAAAGTGGATGGTTCTGTGTCTGATCCATTTAGATCCATTATAAACATGATGGTTCTTTTCAGCCCCAATGTAAACTGAAGCTGCAGAGTTTCTAAACCTGTTTATCTCTGTAGAAGCAGGAAGCCTGACCCCTGCTGGACATTTGGCTGCTTTACATCTCACAGCAGCAACGACAGTACCATCCCTAAATGGGACAATCTGGACTCTGCATTTATTTCTTCAGAAACAGAATTTTGACACCTATTTAAATAATTCCTTCATAATCACAAAAACCACCTTAAAATATCCTCCCTAATGAATCTTTGACAAACAGTTTTCAATCCAAACTGGTGTAAGATGTAACATTAGACTGTCACAGAACTGTCTCAGATCACAGTCTCATTGGGTCGGATCAGTTCCTGTTAGTCCCAAACCTGACTTTTTCTCTCTCAGAGTGAATAAGGAAACCTCCTTGGCTGTTTCTGTATTTTTAGCTGTAGGATTTTCTCAGCTCGTTCTAATCTGCTGCTGATCGTCACACAGACCAGACGTTTCCAGGCAGGCGTGTTCCAGTGACCTATGTTTTGCTGATCCTGGATCAGATCCCTTCTTCTTCAAGTTATGTAAGCTCAGCTGAAGATATTCTGGCCCGGTGCTCCACTAATGAACTACTATCAGAGAGAAGGATCTGAGCTTTGATTGGTGGACAAAGAGGCCCCTCTCGGAACCTCTCTTTGTTCTGAACTGGTGTTGGTTGGTTCAGGTGTCCAGTGATTTACACATTTATTAGACAGCCAGCTTAACTGGAACCAGGAAGATCACAGTAACACAGTTCAGAAAACATTTCCTGGGGTTAACCAATGAGCCACCACTCCTTTGTACATCATCTGTAGATACCTGTATACACAATCTGTAGCTTCTTGTATGTACCTGTAGTATACAACGGCTGTAGCTATGAGTACATACGACCTATAGCTATCAGTATACACTACATGTAGGTATCACCACCCATCACCTGTAGCTTTTACATCAACAGTGTTTGTATACACCACCTGCAGCTATCAGTATACATCCTTTGTAGCTGACCGTATACACTGCCTGTAGCTATTGGTGTACACCACATGTAGCTTATAGATTACATAATGCTAGTATACATCACCTTGGACCTATACACCACCTGTAGCTATGAGTATACACCACCTGTAGCTATCAGTATGCACCATCTGTAGCTATCAGTATACACAACCTGTAGCTATCAGTATACACCACATGTAGCCGTCAGTATATATCACATGAAGATATCAGTATACACCACCTGTAGCTATCAGTATGCACCACCTGTAGCTATCAGTATGCACCACCTATAGCTATCAGTATACACAACCTGTAGCTATCAGTATACACCACCTGTCGCTGTCAGTATGCACCACCTATAGCTATCAGTATACACAACCTGTAGCTATCAGTATTCACCACATGTAGCTATCAGTAAACACCATCTGTAGCTATCAGTATACACCACCTGTAGCTATCAGTATATATCACATGAAGATATCAGTATACACCACATGTAGCTATCAGTATACACAACCTGTAGCTATCAGTATTCACCACATGTAGCTATCAGTAAACACCATCTGTAGCTATCAGTATACACCAC